CATCTGACTTGGCGGTGGACATATGTGGTATCGTGGTATCCCTCCCCTGGCTGACCTTGGCACCTCCCCAGACCTCTGGCCTCGCGAGAAAAAGCACCTCGTGGACAGAAGCCATGACACGGGCTCTCAGCGCCATCGCTGTGCGAGGCTCCTTTGGGCAGCTCGACGAGTGCGAGCCCGGGGGCCCGACGCGAGGCCCTGTCAGGCAGGCCTGGGCAGCGGCTTGCTCGCCCCAGAGCGTCCTGCAGTGCTCGGGGGTGGGCAGACCTCCTATACCCCGACGCGTCGATCAGCGACTTGGCCGTCTTCGGTTCGCGGGAGGGCGTCGCGGCCGTCAGTTTTCTGCGGCTCCAGGTCCGCCGGTTTCGGTCCCGGGCCGTTTTCACTGAGGGGAGGTCTACCAAAAGGGAGGTTTGTCCACCGCCGAGATGCCTCCCGAGCGCTCCGGAGCACTCCTGGAGCGGCCGCGGCGCGCTCCTCCAGATCTGGCGGCTCTCGCTCCAGAGATTCCCGAGGTTTACCAGCCTCAGACCTATCCCTATCCCTAAGATTGACACGCCAAAAACCGATGACAATCTTAGGGATGCGCCCTCAAAAATAAGGGAATCCCTAAGATTGGCATCCTGATGAGGAGATGCCCAGCATAGGGATAGGGATGTGTTCCAGGCTGGTAAGAGGTGCGGTAGGTTCGTGTCGTGTCGACGCGGCTGTGGCCCCGCCGGGGGCGTTCCAGGCGGAACGCCGCCGGTGCCCCAACACCAGCCAATCGGCCAGAATCGGACTGGGATCGCCGCCGGAAAGAGCTTCAGGGCTACAATTTGCGGCCAACTGCAAAACTCCAATCTCCCCATCTCTCTACGTGTATCCAGACCAGGAAAACCATTGACTGCTTGTCTGCGGACTTCGCTGACGCGGGAAAAAAGACATTGATTCGCGCGTTATTGTTGGAAAGCATGTGTCGTGACGGCTCTGGCATTGGTTTCTGACACCGCGTGGATCGTTCGATCCTGAACGATCGGCGTTTTGCCGATCGCCAGACCCTGCCATATCGGTTGCCTCTGTGCCACTGGCGGCGTTCAAGCTTGAACGCCCGCGGCGGGGTCGCCGCCGCGTCGACTCGACACGAACCTGCCGTACCCCCGCCTGTGCGAGGCGGGGATTTGTCCATATCCATAGCCTGGGACCCGACCTCCTGGGGCCCCAGCGGGCGGCGGATGTGAATATATTTTGGCCCCAGATGGCCCGAATACCATTGAATACCCACCGCCCGTGGTAGTCCGCGAAGATCGACCCCCCCAGACGGTGTGCATGGATAGATCCCCGCCTTGCAGCCCGGTTCTGTGCTCTTCCTGCCGTTCTTCTGGCCGAAGCCGCCCGCCGCGACCCTCCACGGCGCCCAGACGCCGGGGGCTCTGCCCCGCCGAGGCCTCAAGGAGGTTCCTGGAGGCCGTCCGGGGCCTGCAGGAAGGTTCGAGTCGCGGGGAAATTCTAGGTTCTCGATCTCTGACGCTGACGGCGACAAGGGGGAGGACGACGAGGATGTCGACGACGACGACGACGGCAAGGAGGAAGAAGAGGAATAACAAGGAACAATACATCATAATTATCAGAGGAGGAGGAGGAGGAGGAGGAGGAGGAGGAGGAGGAGGAGGAGGAGGAGGAGGAGGAGGAGGACCAGTGTAAACCCAATACTTATTAACGTTATTGCAATCAACCCTCCCTCCAAGCTCCCTGCTCGTAGGCTCCTAAAAGCATTCGTTTTCGCTGAGGGCAGTGCCCTGCCCTGTTGGAAGACAATTGTTTGAACATCCAGAGCTGCGCCAGAAATCCTTTCCTCCTCCTCCTCCTCCTCCTCCTCCTCATCATCATCATCATCATCATCATCATCATCCTCTTCCTCCTCCTCCACTTCCTCCTCCTCCTCTTCCTCCTCTTTTTCCTCAATTTCCAATCCTGTACCCCCTCCCCTCCTCTCTCCTCCACCCTCCCTGGCCCCCCCAGCCTTTCCCGCCAGAAATTTCGGCGACTGTCGCGTCTTGGCGATCCTGAATCGTGCCAGGATATCACTCCTGGGACCTCCGCACCGCGAATCAAAGTGGCTGTTGCACCCGGACGTTCTGACATCATGCCAAGACACAATTTCTAGGACGTCAGCCATGAGAATCCTTGAAAAGGTTGCGCATACCATTTACTATGGTTTTAGCCGGCTTCAGAAGAATACCCATGCCTAAAACTGGAACATTATCTTTTCACGGGCAGCAGAAAAAAAAGAAAAACGAGCGCGACCCATCTGGCTTACTATGGCCTGAGTGTCCGGACTCGATCCTGAAAAGACTCGAGATCTAAAAACCGATCAACACGAGAGACTCTAAGGATGAACATGCGCGGCGCGAAGGCGTGGGCCACGCTCTAACAAAAAGGAGCCGGCCTCCACCCGGGAAGCCCGCGCAAGCTCCTAAAACACGAGTGTGCGCGGCGGTGAGAGGCATAAGCCAACTTCATCAGCAGCCCGCTCTCCATCAGTAAAGCTCTTGCAAACTTTTCATGATGAGCGAACAACATACCCATACCCATAGGGGGATCGTTGGGAGGAGGACTGGCTGTGGGTATGTGAGCGGGTTGTCGGACCCTGGGAACGCTCCCGTTCGAGCGGGGACCCCATCCGAGAACACGCACCCATAGCCCTCTCCGACCCCCCCTATGGGTATGGGTGTGTGTTGTTGGTTCGTCATTCAAATCGAGTGTGCGCCGTTCGAAGTCGAGAGCCGCATCTTGAAAACGGCCCGCCCTCCATCCGTGAGAAGGTTCTGCAGCCTGTTGAGACGAGCGTGCGCGGCGCCGAGGCGAGAGTCACGTTTTCCCAGTGACCCACCCTCCACCCGTGGAGCTCTTACAATTTTTAAGACGAATGTGCGCGGCGCCAAGGCGAGAGCCACATTTTGAAGATCATCCTCCCTCCACCCGTGAAGCTGTTGCACGCTGGAAGGTTTCAGGATCATGCGTGGTGAGGACTTCTCAGGCGAAGCGCCCGGCCCGCCCTTTCGACCCGCCTCGGTGTGCGACAGGGAGGAGGCATTCGTAAGGACGAGGGGTGCCGGAAGAGAAGGAGGAGGAAGAGGAGGAGGAAGAGCAGGAGGAGAAGGAGGAGGAGAAGGAGGAGGAGGACGACGACGGCCGAGGACCCCGAGAGCGGGGCTGCGCTGCCGGGCCGCTGGGAATTCCCGTTCCTGCCGGAGCTCCTGGCGAAGGCGAGGGCGGTCGTCTGGCAGCTTGCCGAGTACAGCCCGCCCGCGATCGCGGATCCTCCGCCCCTGTGGTTGTCATGCCCACGTCAGCCTCTCCTCCTCCTGCGCCTCTCTCTGTGCCCCCTTCTGTGCCGCCGTTGTGGCTCACAAGGGCCCTTGAGTCACCTGGTGGGCAGGCGACGGGCGCGCCCTGGCCCCCGGAAAAGGAGAGAGCACGTGGTCTCTCACAGCACGGGTCCCCCCATTTGTATTTCGTGTCTCTCTGTATTCCATACAGTTACCCCCGTACATTCCACAGCCCCCAGGGGGGGAACGAGCCGAGGCAGTCGTCGTCGAACGCTGGAAGCAGCGTCTCGGTGGCGCAGACAGCCGCTTCCGCCACTGGCCACCCCGAGCCCCATAGTATTATAAATGGAAGATCTAAGGGAGGCGGGCAGCGTGGCGAGCACGCGTGTATGATCGTATACGCTTGTTCGGGACAGGGAAACCCGAAATCTGGACTTTGCCGAAGCTGAGCGGGGACCCTCCGCCCCCAGGCGGGGGAGAAGCAGGCAGTCAAGACGCCGAGGTACGGGCCATCTTGACTTCAGGGAGGGCCCTTGTCTTCGGGCCGCTCCTCGGATCCAGGTCGGGGAGCCTCTTCGTGGCCGGGGCTCGCCGTGGCCAGAACAAGCTTGCTCGCTCCTCGTGCAGCTTCCCGGCAGCACGATGACTGTGCCCATGCCGAGCGAGGAACGGCGGAAAGTTCGAGGGCCGAGTCGGTCCGTTCTCTGCTGCGCCTTCTCGCGGGAGGCCGCTCCCGGACCCCAGGGGCCGGGGGAGGCGATCATCGGGGACGGTGCACCTCGCAGCTGAATGTGGATAGTGCGCGGCCGCCCCGCGATCATTGCCAAGTGGTTTTGTCAGGGGCGGCGTGGGTGGTGGTGTATGGCCTGCTGTGCGCAGGCCCACCAGACACGATGATGGGCATGGGTTTTCGACAGGGATGGTGGGGGCCGACCTGTTTCCCGATGTGTGTTGTCATGTGCGCAGACGCACCTGACACACTTTGCACGTGCCCCGGACTTCAGAGACGGAGGAGACCTCAGGAACGGAGGAGACGGACGAGACGGAGGAAACAGGATCTCGAGCTAAGATGCTGCGACTGCAGTTTTCCGAGGACGTCTCGAGCGAGAACCTCATTTTTAACAGAAAGGCTTCAACATTTCAATTTTCCGAGGATGTCTCGAGCGAAACGGCAATTTCCAATGATTCGCTGAATTTCGTGAGCGAACTCAGTAGCTCATTTTTGCCATCCCAACACATACGTATCACCCGAGCCTCAGCATGTTCCGCGCTTCCAGGATCTCCCAGGGGGGGCGAAAAGACCCCGCGCGTTTCGCGCTGAACCCTGAGCGAAAAGACCCCGCGCGTTTCGCGCTGCACCCCGCGCTTCCAGGATCTCCCAGGGGGGGGGGGTGAAAAGACCTCGCGCGTTTCGCGCTGAACCCCGCGCTCCCGCGGGGGGGAGGGGGCGAAAAGACCCTGCGCGTTTCACGGTGAATTCCGCGCTTCCAAGGAGGGCGGGAACCCCCGCGCGTTTCGCGCTGACCGTGCGGGGATTTACGCGCGCGACATCGACGCCGACGGCGACGACGACAAACGACGACCGACGACGACGGGGAGTAAATGTTGAACCGGCGATGACGACGATCGACGAGTAACTGTCGGCGACGGGGGGGGTGCTGCGTCGGCGCCGCGCAGGCCCAGAGGGGACGACCGACGACGACGGCGACGACGACGACAGACGACCGGCGAGTGCGAGTAAATTTGGTGTGGCGCCGAGGGGAGGCGGGGGGTGACGACCGATGACGACGACGACGACGACGACGACGACGACGACGACGACGACGACGACGACGACGACGACGACGACGACGACGACGACGACGCGCTGGCGCTATGGCGAACGCGCGAGTCCCGAGTGCTAGCTCGGCCGCACCAGCCACATCATTCACGAGAAAACGACACCCCCGCTCTGGGCGGGAGACCTCTCGCCAAACGGCCCAGCACCAACAGACCCGTGCGGGTCGGGGGCTGGCACCTCGCTCGGAGGCCACGGGCGCTTTGGACCGCAAAGCACCCACAAGTCGTACAATACAAAATCCCACCCAACACGGACAATGAATGGGTCCCGTGGCAATGGATGGCCAGGGGGTGCGCAGCTGCACCCTCCTGGACAGGAGCAGGTGCCGCCGCCTCGCCCTCGCCGTCACTCCTTGGCGCAGCAAGGTGGGCGAAACGGCTGCCCTGACACTCCTCAGGCCAAAAACGGGACAGGGCACCACGGGTGCTGAACTTGCGATGGCAGATACTACACTTGATCAGAGTGCGGAGGATGATGGGGTTATGGCCTTGCGCTCGCACACGCTTCTCACGCTCCTGCGCAAAAGACCTCCCGCTTTTCCTCCGCACGTGCTGGGGCCCTTCATCTCGGCCGACCCTGGCGTACTTCCCGTCCCGAGCACAAGTAGTGAAACCATCACGCTGGATGGCGACCAATCGCCGAAGAACGGAAACGTGCAACGCATCTTGCAAAAACGTGCGGGCCACTAAATGCTCGGGAACCTCTGCTCTCCTAGCGGCTTTGGCCGCACAAGCATCAGCAGCCCCGTTTAACAAACGCCCCACACGAGTTGAATAGAGGGCGCTGACTTGGGTTTCCGTGGGGTGGCTTTTGGTCCAACGAAGGTCAACATCGCCAGAACGCAGATCCAAGGTTTTCCAGAGAACCACCCACAGGTCGATCATGTCACACTTGGCCAGGGCCGCACGTGGACTACGAAAACCTCGAACAACAGGAAGGTAATCGCTGAACATCAAAACACGTCCAGAGGTATAGCGGAGCACGACAATCAACGCCATGAGCTCCGCACGCGGGGACGACTGGTCAGGACCTGGAAGAGTACCTGCAAAGCCACCGTCGACATCGTCGAGCGTGGTGGACAAACGTACGCATGCCCACCCACACCTCCTTTGTCTGGCATCCTTAGCAAATCTCCCCCCCGATCCGTCGATCCCCCAATCTCCTCCTTCCTTCACGACACGATCCTCGAACGAGCCCCAAAACCAGGTCAGATCCTGAGGCTTGGGCAGATGCCCCATGGTGCGATCTAGCGGCATGAGCCCGCGGCACCACAGGGCAGGACAATCATCTTGAGCTGCACGCTCGCCGAAATGTTCGGAGTCAGCCACCGTGGTGTCGGGGTTATACTCGTTCATACAACATCTCCAAAACCTGTGGTACGGGGTCTCCTTATCCTCATCGCAGCGGACACAAACTCCCGCAGCTGGTGCTTCATATCCTGCATTGTAAAGACGGTCCTCCGTCCAATAACCCCCAGAGATGATGTTCAATAAGATGGATTGCCCCTCATAATCCAACTCCCGTCCCATCCTGCTATACTCTTTCCGAATACAAGTAAAATCAACTCCTCCTTCCATCCCAGCCCCCATGTAATGACAGGCAGCCTTGCGCCAGATCAAGGCGTCACATGTGCGCTGGACGGAGCGGCGAAGATGCAAACGAAAGTCAGGCTGGGACAGCTGGAGCAAATCACCACGATCATCGCGCCAGCGTGCAGGTGAAAGGGGCAGCCATCCTAGATCGAGCAGAACAGCAACTGTCGCCGCCACTGGACCACGAACACGACGCCAAATAGACTGCGCCGAGATGCTCGAACACTCCTGGACCTTGCTTCTCCAAAGTCCAGCCACTTTCATTTTTCAACCATGCTCCAAAGAATCCCAAGCAGAGGCAAAGCCTTCAGAATGCTCACGACGGAGGCGGTAGATGGGGTCCCCTCGAGGCCCTCCAACGATCCCAAGGATAGTAGTAGAGCAGGCCCCAGCATGCCAAGCACCAGAACACACCGCGGCCTGCCCGCGAACACACTGAACCTGAGTAGGGGAGAGACCCACCACTTGATGCCCCCAAGTTCCAATCGCTAAATCTCCAGATTTGTACAACTTAGCAGCCTTCTTCACCAACTTAGTAAGATCTGATATAGACAAACCTTGACCCAAGACATCGACTGCATACACCCAGGGAGCACCCCAATGCCCGATGAAATCAGCTCAGAACATAATCCAGACGACTCGAGCATACGAGGGGCCACATGGATCAGGAGGCCGAGGTAGAGCAAGTGAGGCGGGAACTTCAAATCACAAGCCAACGAGACCAGACGCGCAGGGACCACTGTGTCGAAAAACTTAGTGAGGTCCCAGTGTACAGCCATGCCCTTCTAGCCTTCGAACATCGCCACCTCGTGGCATATCTCCCTCCTAAGGGCCGCCTGCAGGGCAAAACTACCTTTAACAGCGTCGTCCCAAAACTCACGGTGCCCACGGGACCAGTCATCCAGGAAAACGCCTCGGATTTTGCAGTAGACCCGATACAACGTAGGACACTTGCACACGGGACGTTCATCCACCGAACTTTTTGGGAAGGAGGCAAATAATCATCCCCAGGAGAACCCGAGACGGCCACATCATGGCCTGCCCACACTCGTTAAACAGCTCCGACAGGGCTCCCAGGGCGTGGGGATCCAACTGGAGGAACTCACGGGGTCTCCAGTGGTCAACTCCCACAGCGGTGGTTTCAGAGACAATCCGGTTCGCAGCATACGCACCCCTAGGCTCGATCTCTGGACGCTCAGGGGCCACCTGCAGGGCCCGCGACCTCAGCTCACCCAGCGCTTCCCCACGCGGATCGAGTTGGGATGGGCTGGCTGTCCGGAAACGGCTCCACCTTCTGAGTACGGTGCGCCATCATATCCTCTGGCAACTGCAGCACGCCCTCGGGCGCGACGAAATACTCCAACGGGGTCGCCTTGGTCACGCTTCAGCCATGCATGGGCCTTCTTAGCCCCATGCGGCAAGGCCCTCAAGAGCCAGTCCTTGACAGCCTTAGCCGCGAAGCTCCTAGCCGCATGCCAGGCGTTGGTGAGCGTGCAGGAGCATCGATCGATCAATTCCTGACATCGGTGCGGATCGATGCAAGTTAAATCTAAAAGCTGAGCTCGCTACTCTGCAGCAGTCTGGTCAGCAGGCAAGCACGATGTGTTCTCATCCACTCGCTGTCCCAAGGCGTACAGTTGCCGAGCCAGTCCCATACGCATGCGGTGGTACCCATGTTGGACCGCGACCCGCAGCTCAAACAGCTTCTGCGAGACGGTCGACCAGAACGTTAGGACAGGCTGCGCAAAGCTGCCAGACGTGTTGCGGTGGTCAGTCAGCGTGGTACATCGAGTGCTCACATGCGTGCCACGTCCCACATAACTATCATAATCATGCTCATGCTCAATATGTTCATGCAACATAAACATGTCCTCAGTAGCCCGACGACGACGACGACGTCCGACCCGACGAGTAAATGTCGCCAAGGGCGTCTCTGTGTGTGTGTGTGTGTGTGTGCTGCGTAGGCGCCGTGCAGGCAGGCCAGGGGCGTGACGACGACGGACGACCACCGACGACGACGACCGACGGACGACGAGTACATGTCGGAGTGTTGCTTCTCCTCCTCTTCCTCCTCCTCCCCAGGAGAAGGCGGAGCCTGATGCCCCTGACGACAAGAAGGGCAAGAAGGCCAAGGACAAGAAGGGCACCACGCCCGAGCCCGGGAAGAAGGGAAAAGGCGCCTCGAAGGAGGTTGTCGAGGAGGCCTCGGACTGCCCCCCCCCCCCCCTCCCCTCCCCTCTCCCTTTTTTCCCTCCCCTCCGCCGTCCTGCGCGCTGGCCCAGCTCGATCGCGTCCGTCGGGTCCGACCTGAAGCCAAAGAGAGGCGCAGACGTCGCATGCCCCCGTGGTCTCTTACTTTGATTCTCTGGCCCAAAGAGGTTTGAGGCTTGAGCATTCCGAGAAATGGGGAGGGCGCTTCGAAGGCTGCTGCCGAGGAGGCCTCGTGCTGCCCTCTCTCACGGGCGGCGAGCACGTCCGCATCCGCTCCCCCGCGCTCTGGGATTCCGGGGCGCGATCCCGCGGGTACGCGCTCGCACGGACGCGTTCCGCGCGGGGCATCCGCGAACAAAGCTCCCCGCATGTGCGGGGTCGCTGCCGAGGGGGCCCCGTATCTGCGGGGTCGCGGCCCAGGGGCCGCAGATACGGATCCACGGCTCGCCCTCCTCCCTCCGCTCCAGCATTCTCTGTCCATTGGTTCGCCGGAGGGCACCAGCGCCGCACCCGCAACGACCTTGCCAGGCCGATCCTGGGCCCGGGATCGGTGTACATGCCTCCCTGCCCGAGCCAGGAGGGCGGATACACAGATCGTGGGGGGCCCAGCATGAGCCTGCCCTGGATCAGCGTATGCGCATCGTTGGCGCCTTCCCAGATACGGCGGCGCAGAATCCTGTCCGAAGAGGGGGGAGGAGGAGGAGCAGGAGGAGGAGGAGGGAGGAGGAGGAGGAGGAGGAGGAGGAGGAGGGAGGAGGAGGAGGAGGAGGAGGAGGAGAGGAGGAGAAAGGGAGGAGGGGGAGGAGGAGGAGGAGGAGGAGGAGGAGGAGGAGGAAGAGGAGGAGGAGGAGGAGCAGGAGGAGCAGGAGGCAAAAAAGGAGGAGGAGGAGCAGGAGGAGCAGGATGAGCAGCAGGAGGAGGAGGAGGAGGAGGAGGAGGAGGAGGAGGAGGAATAGGCAAGGGAGGAGGAGGAGGAAGTGACAAGGGAGGAGGTGGGAGGAGGAGGAGGAGGAGGAGGAGGAGGAGGAGGAGGAGAATCAGGATACTGCGGCGCAGAATCCTGTCCAACTCGGTTTCCCCAAGTGCTGGCCTTTTTTTTCAGCACGGCCCGTGTTTTGCCGGTCCGGGGGCCCGCAGGGGCCCCACAGAGGCCGAGCATTGGGAGACACCTCCGTCCAGACTGTTTTCAGGAAACAAAGCATACAGACACACATAGTAGGCGCCGATTCCTGGGAAATGGAACACATGGGACGTAGAGGGGAAGACAAAACCCCAGATAATGTGGACAACTGTGGGGAGTCCGGGAACTTGTATCAATTTTATTGAATCGCTTCGCTCACTCCGCTGGCACACATTGTCTCGCTGCTGTCGTTTGTCTGGGTGTTGTTGTCAATGCGGTGCGACTGGGCGGCGGCCACTTTTCTTAGGCGGTGCGTGGAGAGCGGTTCAGGTGAAGCAGTTGCAGTGGAACTACTTCCTGGGGGCCAGTCGCAGATTATTGCGGTGTTGTGTTAGCAGTCGTGGGGTATCTCTGGGGTTGTAGATGCTGCGCTTGTGCCGTTGTAGGTCGTGTATCCCATGGATGTTCGTTTAAGGGCCCGTCCGCAGACTTTAGCCATACAGTGCAAGCTCGGAACGTCTCTCTTCGAGGGTGGCGGCCCCTTAATGCGAACGCAGCGATAAAACCTCCTCCTCCTCCTCAACCTCCTCCTCCTTCTCCTCCTCCTCCTCCTCCTTCTCCTCCTCCTCCCCCACCTCCTCCTCCTCCTCCTCCTCCTCCTCCTCCTCCTCCTCCTCGCCCTCCTCGTCGCGACGCGCCTGGATTTTCCCTGCCCGCTCCGAAGTCGCCGACGCATTTTCGGGGGAGGGTGTGTTGAGGCAAGGGCTGCTTTCTTGGCCCCTATGGGCGCCTCGCGGGATGAACGGGCACCACCGTGTTGCTTGAGGCAATCCAGTTTTGTCTTCCTCCCCGCCACCTCCTTCTCTCTTTGCCCGGGGATGCGGATGACGGTGAGGGCGGCAAGATTCGCCGGTGCTATCTGACAGTGTGTTTGTTCACGGAGAGGGGGGAAAGGAGGAGGAGGAGGAGCAGGAGGATGCGGAGGAGGAAGAGGGGATGAGGATGACGAGGAGGATGAGGAGGCCTCTCGATGACTGCTTGGGGCATCTTGGAGGCCTCTTGGGACCTCTTGGGGGCCTCTTGGGGTTTTTGTGAGGGCGTGTTGGGGCCTCCTGGTGTGGTTTATAAGGGTTGGACGGTTCGAAATGTCCGTTCGGGATTCCTGTCTGGGCCTCCTCTTGGGACCGTTCTGGGGCCATCTTGGGCCGTCTTGGATGCCTTTTGGGCCGTGGGCCGTCTTAGGGTTTTTTGGGGGCCGTCTTGGGGCCCTTTTGGAAGCCTCTTGGGCCATATTGGGGCGATCTTAGGCCGTCTTGGGGTCGTCCTGGGGCCAATTGGGGCCGTCTTGGAGGCCTTTTTGGCCGTCTTGGGGTCTTCTTAGGCCGTCTTGGGACCCTCTTGGATGCCTCTTGGGCCATCCTGGGGCGATCTTGGAGGAGTCTTGGGCCGTCTTGGAGCGTCGGAAGTCCGAGAAGGTAAGAAGGCCAGAACCGTTGAACAAAACCGAAGGGGCATCAATGTGTTTTGATTCCTTGGGCCCTCTGGAGACGCCTCTTGGAGGCTTCCTTGGGCGTCTTGGAAGCGTCTGCGGCCGTCTGGGAGCCATCTTGTGTGTCTCGGACCGACCTGTCGGCGACCCGGAGCCCTGTTGGACCATCTTTGGGGGGTCTTCAGGCCCTCTTGGGGCGCTCTGGGGGACTAAAAGGCTGCGCGCAGGAAGACAGTCATCTCTGACCGGGGTGTCCCGGGAGTTTCGCGGGGTACTTTCCGTCCGGGGACCCCCAGGGGCCGCTCCGCGCGGGCGAACTAGAAATACGGTACGTTGTTCACCAGTTGCCGAACATCTTAACACGCATCTGGCCCGTTGGGCCGACGAAATTGTGTGCGTGTGTGTTTGTGTGTGTGTGTGCGTGTGTGTGTGTGTGTGTGTGATTGGCGCCCCCCCTTTTCCTCCCCTTTCCCTGGTAATTCAAGCCTCGCGCGGCCCGCTTAGCTTCGACTGGAAGAGGTGCGCTCTCGACCCGCGAATCAAAAGAGCGTGTGTGTGTGTGTGTGTGTGTGTGTGTGTGTGTGTGCGTGTGTGTGTGTGTGTGCGTGTGTGTGCGTGTGTTTGTGTGTGTGTGTGTGTGTGTGTGTGTGTGTGTGTGTGTGAGCATGTCCCTGGTCTTCTTCATTTTCAGCGGGCCTCACGGCCCCGGGCGCCCGGCCCTGCCCGGCCCTCCTTCGCTTCCACCGCTCGGGGGCGGCCACGAGGGGGGTGGTGATCAAGCAGGTGGGTCGGTGTGATGGCTTTGGCTCATGATGTTCCAGCCTACTTTTAAATCCCTGATCGCCAGAAAGAGTTTCGAGCACCAGCGAAAGTACCGAAAGACGAAGGTTTTCACGTGTCGGCCCTGGGAGACACTCGGCCGACACTGTTTCGACACTGTTTCGATACTTTTCTGGGTGCTCGAGATTCTTTCTGGGATGTGGTCCTTAAGTACGATGGGAGCAACATAAGCTTTGGTCAAGATATCTCCCCGATTTCATGGCCCTCGTTCCTCTTTCAATGCTCGCGCATATGCGCATCCGCACATATGCCGCCGGCCATGCTTTGGGAGTCCTCCTCTCGGACACCTCCCTCTCGGGCGCCCCCGAAACGCCTGCCCCTGGGAGGCTCCGCCAGCTCCCGCGCCGCGGCTGTACGTGGACCTGCAAAACGCCTTGCTGGCCGAGAGGGCGACCTACCTGCACCGGCTCTCCCTCATCGGGGACTGGGCGGAGAGGATCGGCGGAGGAAAAGGAAGCGATACCGCTACCCGTGGCCTCCCAGATGGACCAAGCTAGTGTGGGGTCGAAGGATCGCGCCGCATCGCCAATGCGTCGGCGATGCATCGGCGATGCACTGGCGATGCGACGCTACCTCCGACCCCATCTAGTCGGACTCATTCTAGGAACTCCCATTCCTTCGTTCTGGCATTGTTCGGGCCTCCAGGGAGGCCCTCGTCGCCACCGCCAGATTTTCCTCGAAGTTCTAGTCTTAAGTCGGGCCTGTCCCTCTACAGGGGGAAAATTCAAAAATAGTCAAAAAATAGTCAGGCTTTTTTTAAAAGGTATTTTCTCACCATCTTGGAGTATTTTGGGAGCATGTGGTATTTTTCCTCCAAAATGCCCCTGTGGGGGGACATGCCCGACTTAACTCTAGACGGAACGCACCCCGAGAGAAGTCGGGGGGGGAGCGGTATCGGTGCCTGTTCGTCCCCCCAGAGGAGGCTGCTGCACATGACCGAGGCGGGGAGGGCCGGAGGGTCCGAGGTCATTTTTTCTCGCACCATCCTCTCCTCTCCTCTCCTCTCCTCTCCTCTCCTCTCCTCTCCTCTCCTCCTCCTCCCTCTCCTCTCCTCTCCTCTCCTCTCCTCTCCTCTCCTCTCCTCTCCTCTCTTCCTCGAGCCACCGCCGTCCCCTGCCTTTTTGTGGAAATGCCGATCTGAGCCCACACTTGGCCAAGCTATTGCACCTTGGGCCGTCTTGGGGCCGTCTTGCGGCCGGCCTGTTTCCGTCTTGGGCCCTCTTGGAGCGCTCTTGAGCCTCTCTTGGGGTGTCTTTGGCTTCTCGTGGGGCGCCAGCGACCATGCCAGGCTGGTCGCAATCCAAGTTGTGCCGCACATTTTTAATTTGCAGGGCGGTTGATTGCAGTATATATGCGCAGACGCAGCCAAGACGTTGAAGTAAGGACCGCGTTCGGCTCCGGAGGCGTTTCTGGTTTCCCGTCCACTCCTCATATTTAGGCTTAAGTCGGGCCTGTCCCTCTACAGGGGGAATATTCCGAAATAGTAAAAAAACAGTCTGGGGACAATTTTCCTATTATTTTTTGACCAATCTGGAGCATTCTTGGAGTATTCTTAAATTTTCGTCGAAAATTCCCCTGTAGGGGGACAGGCCCGACTTAAGTCTAGGCCAGGGAACCCGCTCATGGCCAAAGCTCGCCGTGGCTAGAGGCCCTTCGTTGCCTTTTCTGTTTTTTTTTTGTGGTGGCGCGATGGCTGTCATCGGGGGTGGACAGACCTCCTACCCTGACACGTCGATCAAGGAATTGGCCGTTTTCGGTTCGCGAGAGGGCGTCGCGGCCGTCATTTTGCAGGTCCAGGTCCGTCGGTTTCGGTCCCAGGGCCGTTTTCACTAAAGGGAGGTTTACTAAAGGGAGGTTTGTCCACCGCCGATGTCATCGTCGAGCGACGCGCTGCCCGCGTCCACGGCACAGCGTGTCGCCAGAGCCGCCGCCACGACACAGTCAGTAAAAGTTCCAAGTTCCTGACCGGAATCATTGGCGGCGGGCGAGGGGGGGAAGTGAGAAGGAAAAGGCCTTCTCAGAAGGCGGCGGGGCTTCTGAGAGGTGTGTTGTGTCTTCGGAGAAGGCCAAGACAATTTCTCTCAGAAGGCTCGGGGACTTCCGAGCCTTCTGAGAAGACCCGTCCCATCGCACTTCCCCCCAGGCTCGCCGCCGAAATCAGGCTTCGAGACAGTGAGTAGGCCCACAAGCCATGGCTTTAGTCGGGCATGTTCCTCTGCAGGAGGAATGTTCAGAAATAGTCGACAAAAAACGTCCGCGGACGATCGGTCCACGCGTTCCTCCTCCCTCCTTCCTCCCTCCTCCTTCCCCTCCTCCCTCCTCCCCCTTCTTTCTGCGCTTCAACCACCCAGTACAGCGTTTCGTGGCCCCATAGGGAACTCCACCGAAGGTCCCAGTGTTACCGCCCGCATGCGTCCCCGAACCCTAATTTGGCACACCCCTCACACGTTTCGTGGCCCCATAGGGAGCTCCACCGAAGCGCCCAGTGGGACCGTCCACATGCGTCCCCCGAACTCAATTTGGCACACCCCTCACACGTTTCGTGGTTCATAGGAAGCTCCACCGACGGCCCCAGTGCCACCGTCCGCATGCGTCCCCCGAACTCAAATTGGTACACCCCTCACACGTTTCGTGGCCCCATGGGGAGCTCCACCGAAGCGCCCAGTGGGACTGCCCGCACGCGTCCCCAAAACGCAATTCGGCACACCCCTCACACGTTTCGTGGCTCCATAGGGAGCTCCACAGGAGGCCCCAGTACTTCCGCCCGCATGCGTCACCCACACTCATTTCGTCACACCCCTCACACGTTTCGTGGCCGCATAGGGAGCTCCACAGAAGGCGCCAGTGCCACCGCCCGCATGCGTCACCCGCGCCCATTCCGGCACACCCCTCACACGTTTCGTGCCCTCATAGGGAGCTCCTTCGAAGGCGCCAGTGCCACCGTCCACATGTGTCCCCCGCACCCCTTTCCGCACACCCCTCACGCGTTCCGTGGCCCCATAGGGAGCTCCACCGAAGGCGCCAGTGGCTGTGTTCGCATGCGCCCACCGCACCCATTTCGGCACACCCATCACACGTTTCGCGGCCCCATAGGGAGCTCCACCGACGGCCCCAGTGGCTGCGCTCGCATGCGCCCACCGCACCTATTTCGGCACACCTCTCACGCGTTTCGTGGCCCCATAAGGGGTTCGGCCCCAGTGGGTGCTTTCGCATGTGCCCACCGGACGAGTTTTGGCACACCCCTCACACGTTTCGTGGCCTCAAAGGGAGCTCCTCCGAATGCGGTGCATACAACGACGGTGTTCACAATTGCATATGGTTTGGTCCTTCGCCAGGCTAATTTCATTATTTTGAACAATTTCCCATTCTATTCCCAACCATCCTGTGGTTTTGGGTCTTCGTTTTGTAGAGACGGTCCCCGCGTTCTCCTCCTTCATCCCTCCTCCTCCCCCTCCTCCCCGCGTTTCACCCACCCACCACAGCGTTTCGTGGCCCCATAGGGAGCTCCACCGAAGGCCCCGGTGCCACCGTCCACATGCGTCCTCCACACCAATTCGGCACACCCCTCACACTTTTCGTGCCCTCCTAGGGAGCTCCATCGAAGGCCCCAGTGCCACCGTCCACATGCGCCCCCCCCACACACATGTCGGCACACCCCTCACACGTTTCGTGCCCTCATAGGGAGCTCCACCGAAGGCCCCAGTGCCACCGTCCACATGCGTCCTCCACACCCATTTCGGCACACCCCTCACACGTTTCGTGCCCTCATAGAGAGCTCCACCGAAGGCACCAGTGCCACCGTCAACATGCGTACCCCACACCCATTTCGGCACACCCCTCACACGTTTCGTGCCCTCATAGGGAGCTCCACCGAAGGCCCCAGTGCCACCATCCACATGCGCCCCCCGCACCCCTTTCGGCACACCCCTCACGCGTTTCGTGGCTCCATAGGGAGCTCCACCGAAGGCACCAGCGCCACCGTCCACATGCGTCCCCCACACCCATTCCAGCACACCCCTCACACGTTTCGTGGCCGCATAGGCAGCGCCACCGAAGAAGATATTCACAGTTGCCGTACGGACAACTGCACATGGTTGCGTCCTTCGCCAGGCTAGTTTTGGGATTATTCCCAACCATCCTGTGGTGTTGGGTCCTCGTTTTGAAGAGACGGTGCCCCGCGTTCCTCTCCTCTCCTCCTCCTCCCCATCCCCCCGCTACCGTCCGCATGCGTCCCCCCCCCACCGAGTACAGCGCTTCGTAGTCCCATAGGGAGCTCCACCGAAGGCCCCAGTGCCACCGTCCACATGCGTCCCCCCCACTCAGTACAGCGTTTCGTGGCCCCATAGGTAGCTCCACCGAAGGCCCCAGCGCCACCGTCCACATGCGTCCCCCCCACTCAGTACAGCGTTTCGTGGCCCCATAGGGAGCTCCACCGAAGGCCCCAGTGCCACCGTCCACATGCGTCCCCCCGCTCAGTACAGCGTTTCGTGGCCCCATAGGAAGCTCCACCGGAGGCCCCAGTGCCACCGTCCACATGCGTCCCCCCCACTCAGTACAGCGTTTCGTGGCCCCATAGGGAGCTCCACAGGAGGCCCCAGTGCCTCCGCCCGCATGCGTCACCCACACTCAGTAAAGCTCTTCGTGACCCCATAGGGAGCTCCACCGAAGGCCCCAGTGCCACCGTCCACATGCGTCCCCCCCACTCAGTACAGCGTTTCGTTGTCCCGTAGGGAGCTCCACCGAAGGCCCCAGTGCCACCGTCCACATGCGTCCCCCCCATTCAGTACAGCGTTTCGTGGCCCCACAGGGAGCTCGACCGAAGGCCCCTGTGGGACCGTCTGCAAGCGTCCCGAAACACACATTGTGGCATGTTCATCCACCCACTCCAGAATTTCGTGGCCCCGTAGGGAACTCCACCGAAGGCCCCAGTGCCACCGTCCGCATGCGTCCCGAAAACCCAACGTGGCATTTTTACCCACCCGATACAACGTTTCGTGGGTCCCTAGTGAGCTCCACCGAAGCCCCCAGTGGGACCGTCCACATGCGCCCCGCCCACTCAGTACAGCCTTTCGTGGCCCCATAGGGAGCTCCACCGAAGGCCCCAGTGCCACCGTCCACATGCGTCCCCACCACTCAGTACAGCGTTTCGTGGCCCCATCGGGAGCTCCACCGAAGGCCCCAGTGCCACCGTCCACATGCGTCCCCCCCATTCAGTACAGCGTTTCGTGGCCCCACAGGGAGCTCCACGGAATGCCGCCCGTGCCACCGTCACATGCGTCCCCCCACTCGTAACAGCGTTTCGTGGTCCCCCATATGGAGCTCCACCGAAGGCCCCAGTGCCACCGTCCCAGCGTCCCCCCCACTCATGCCGGGTTTCGTGGCCCCATAGGGGGCTCCAACCGAAGGCCCCAGAGTTGCCACCGTCCACATGCGTCCCCCCTACTCAGTAACAAAGCGTTTTCGTGGCCCCATAGGGAGCTCCCACCGAAGGCCCCAGTGCCACCGCCACATGCGTCCCCCGTCCCCCACCATGTCGGTACACTCTGTACACGTTTCGTGACCCGTGGCCCTATAGGGAGCCCCACCCAGGTGCAGTGCACCGTCCACATGCGTCCCCCCCACTCAGTACAGCGTTTCGTGGCCCCATAGGGAGCTCCACCGAAGGCCCCAGTGCCACCGTCCACATGCTACCGTCCACATGCGTCCCCCCCACTCAGTACAGCGTTTCGTGGTCACAGGAGCTCCACCGAAGCCCCCAGTGGGACCGTCCGAGTGCGTCCTGAAACACCAAATTTGGCATTTTCGCAGACTCATTACAGCGCTTCGTGGCCCCGCAGGGAGCTCCACCGAAGGCCTCAGTGCCACCGTCCGCATGCGTCCCGCACACCCAACGTGGCATTTTCACCCACCCAGTGCAGCGTCTCGTGGCCCCACAGGGAGCTCGACCGAAGGCCCCTGTGGGACCGTCTGCAAGCGTCCCGAAACACCCATTGTGGCATTTTCATCCACCCACTCCAGAATTTCGTAGCCCCGTAGGGAACTCCACCGAAGGCCCCAGTGCCACCGTCCGCATGCGTCCCGAAAACCCAACGTGGCATTTTCACCCACCCAATACAGCGTCTCGTGGCCCCTTAGTGAGCTCCACCGAAGCCCCCAGTGGGACCGTCCGCATGCGTCCCGGAAGCCCCATTTGGCATTTTCACCGGCCCAGTACAGCGTTTCGTCGCTCCATAGGGAGTTCCACCGAAGCCTCCAGTGGGACCGTCCGCATGCGTCCCGGAAGCCCAGTTTGGCATTTTCGCGTACCCAGTACAGCGTTTCGTGGCCCCATAGGGAGCTCCACCGAAGCCCCCAGTGGGACCGTCCGCGTGCGTCCCAGAAACCTTACTTGACACACCACTCACCCAGAACAGCGTTCCCCCCCCACCCAGTGCAGCGCTTCGTGGCCCCATAGGGAGTTTCACCGAAGCCTCCAGTGGGACCGTCCGCATGCGTCCCGGAAGCCCAGTTTGGCATTTTCACGTACCCAGTACAGCGTTTCGTGGCCCCATAGGGAGCTCCACCGAAGCCCCCAGTGGGACCGTCCGCATGCGTCCCAGAAACCTTACTTGACACACCACTCACCCAGAACAGCTTTCCCCCCCCACCCAGTGCAGCGCTTCGTGGCCCCATAGGGAGTTTCACCGAAGAAGATTTTCAAAATTGCGGTACCCACAACTGCATATGGTTGGGTATTTCGCCAGGATAATATTTTTTTCTTCCAACATCCGCCCGTGGGAGGACATGCCCCACCTACAGTGGGGGCGCGCATCAAGAAACAATCTGCTTTTCGTCAGGGTATCCTTGGTTTCTTCGCTCCGCGCGCTGCGCGGTGACTTCCCGCGGCCGTCAGAGGAGCTGCTGCGTTCAGGGTGCTCCGGGTTTCCCCTCAGGTGCACCTCAAGCACGGGTTCTCAGGGTTGGGTTTCTTGCGGGGGTTTCTTGCGGCCGCGCCCGCACTGTAAGCTATGGCAGGCCCGCCCCCCCTGCCGGAGGCCTCCGCCGACATGTTCTCTGCCCTCCGGGACTGGGTGGTGCTCCGCCGTCGCGCGGAGCTCTGTGCGATCGACAGCCTGACGGACTCCATCAAGGATCTGCGGCAGCGGCGGCGTTGCTCACCACCCACCAACACCACCCCAACCCAACCCGAAGGCTCAGATTTACCTTCGATTTCCAGTGGGGGGGGGCGGGAAACATCGAAAAAATACCTGTGGAACCCTTACCCCCCCCCAACCCGAAATTCGGGTCTGCGGGTTGGGTTGGGGTGGTCTGGTAGGTAGTCAGTTGCAGGCGCCGGCGACTCCAGACCCCGACCCCTGCCTGCGCGTTTGGCGCCGTATTTTCAGCGCCGCGGCAACCAGAGCGCGCTGAAGCGAGTCCCATGGGTGACCAGGGCGTTTGTCTCGCTCGGCGGTCATTTCTGTTTCCTCCTCGTTTGCGCTCAAAAGATCGAGGCGGAGTTTGTGTCGCCTTTTTCGTCCTCTCGGGTCCGCTTCTGGGATCCAGGACTGACGGAAAGCGATCTGGAATAAGACATTGGTCCATGGAAATGGTCGAGAGAGGTATGGGCGCCGTGTTTCGAAATCAACTCACGGCGCGCGGTGTCGAATGCTTCGGGGCGACGCGGACGGCAGCGGCGACGATGGCGACGACGATCGAGGTCTTTGGAAGTTTTTGAACGCTTCTGTTCCTCTTGGGGCCTCTAGAAGGCCCCAGAGGAGTACAGAGACTTCCAAGGGACTTCTTGGAGACTTCGCTCCAAAGACCTGCGGCGCCCTCAGGGATGCAGCCGACGACGACGACGATCCCAGACACTGGCGCTTCGGTTCTTTCTATGTCTGGGCCCCTGGATCTGTCGATCCCCTCCCCTCAGCCCGACTCCACAAGCCCAGACGTCCCCAGACATGCTCGCGTCGTGAACAAAAGTCACGACGGATGGTTCCGCCCCCCCCTTAGTTCCCAGCCATCCTGTGGCGTTGGGTCCTCGTTTTGAAGAGAGAGCGCCCCGCATCTCCTCTCCTCCTGCCTCTCCTCCCTCTTCCCGTCATCATCATCATCATCATCATCATCATCATCATCATCATCATCATCATCATCATCATCATCATCATCATCATCATCATCATCATCATCATCATCATGCATCATCATCATCAGCATCAGCATCATCATCATCAGCACATCATCATCAGCATCATCAAGATCAGCATCAGCATCAATCATCATCAGCATCAGCATCAGCATCATCGTCAGTCAGCGTCAGCATCAGCATCAGCATCATCGCCATCATCGTCATCATCGTCATCATCGTCATCATCGTCATCATCACCTTCATCGCCATCACCATCGCCGTTATCGTCACCATCATCGGCACCCAGTTCGGCACACCCCTCACACGTTTCGTGGCCCCATAGGGAGCTCCACCGAATGCCCCAGTGCCGCCGTCCACACGTTTCGTGGCCCCATCGGGAGCTCCACCGAAGGCCCCAGTGCCACCGTCCACATGCGTCCCCCGCACCCATTTCGTCACACCCCTCACACCACCGAAGGTCACAGTGCCACCGTCCACGTGCGTCACCCGCACCCATTTCGGCACACCCCTCACACGTTTCGTGATCCCATCGGGAGCTCCACCGAAGGCGCCAGTGCCACCGTCCTCATGCGTCCCACACACACATTTCGGCACACCCCTCACACGTTTCGTGGCCCCATCGGAAGCTCCACCGGCGGCCCCAGTGCCAGCGTCCGCGTGCGTCCCCCACACCCATTTCGGCACACCCCTCTCACGTTTCATGGCCCCATAGGGAGCTCCACCGAAGGCCCCAGTGCCGCCGTCCACACGTTTCGTGGCCCCATCGGGAGCTCCACCGAAGGCCCCAGTGCCACCGTCCACATGCGTCCCCCGCACCCATTTTAGCACACCCCTCACACCACCGAAGGTCCCAGTGCCACCGTCCACATGCGTCCCCCATACCCATTTCAGCACACCTGTCACACGTTTCGTGGCCCCACAGGGAGCTCCACCGAAGGCCCCAGTGCCACCGTCCACACGCTTTTCCCGCACCCATCTCGGCACACCCCTCACACGTTTCGTGGCACCCTAGGGAGGTCCACCGAAGGCCCCAGTGCCACCGTCCACATGCGTCCCCAACGCACGCAGATGTCGGCACACCCCTCACACGTTTCGTGGTCCCATCGGGAGCTCCACCGAGGGCTCCAGTGCCACCGTCCACATGCGCCCCCCACGCATTTCGGCAGACTCCTGACATCTTTCGTGGCACAGTATGGAGCTCCACCGACGGCCCCAGAGCCACCGTCCACATGCGTCCCCCGCACGCATTTCGGCACACCCCTCACACGTTTCGTGGCCCCATCGGGAGCTCCACCGACAGCCCCAGTGCCACCGTCCACGTGCGTCCCCTTACCCATTTCGGCAGACCACTCACGCTTTTCGTGGCCCCATATGGAGCTCCACCGAAGGCCCCAGTGCCACCGTCCACATGCGTCCCCCACGCCCATTTCGGCACACCCCTCACACGTTTCGTGGCACCATAGGAAGCTCCACCGAAGGCCCCAGTGCCACCGTTCACATCGGTCCCACGCACACATTTCGGCACACCCCTCACACGTTTCGTGGCCCCATCGGGAGCTCCACCGACGGCCCCAGTGCCAGCGTCCGCGTGCGTCCCCCACACCCATTTCGGCACACATCTCACACGCTTCGAGGCCCCATCGGGAGCTGCACCGAAGGCCCCAGTGCCACCGTCCACATGCGCCCCCCACACCCTTTTCAGCACACCCCTCACACGTTTCTTGGCCCCGATAGGGGGCTCCACCGAAGGCCCCAGTGCCACCGTCCACATGCGTCATCCACACCTAGTGTAGTGGCCTCCAGCCAGTGCCGCCGATCCGGGGGAGCTCCCGATGCGATCTGGATGATGATGCTGATGATGATGATGATGATGATGATGATGATGATGATGATGGTGGTGGCGGTGGTGGCTGCTGCTGATGATGGCTGCTGCTGCTGATGATGGCTGCTGCTGATGATGGTGCTG